TGTCACGTCTTCAAGTTTAAAATTGAATTTTTTCCAATGCGCTATTGCTTATTTATTAAAAATTAAATTTATAAAATTTACCTTGCACTCTATACGTAAGAACCTATTATATAAGAAATAATAAATGACTTACTGATACTAATATATCATTGATCTATCTTAATTATTATTGGTTGACATAATATGTACGTACATATGTTAGCTAATTAGTTACAAGTTTATTATGTATTAGTGAACTTTCTCAACAGCTTTTCTTGTATGCATCTCATGAACGAAGGAATCGATTGTATCTGAAACTTTCGTTGAACTTTCACAGACGGCAATATGACACACTTCTTCTATTTGTTAGTATCCAGAATATATATTCTACATTTACAATGATATTACATAATGCTCGGCTATCTTCCATTACCGATGCAAAATCATCGCTGAAACTTTTATCTTAATGTGATTGCTTTCCAGAGATATCATTAGAGTATATGTCAAGAATCATAAATCATGTCTTAAGCTGAATATATTTTGATACTTGCTTTCGTGGTATAGAATAATCATTTTCGTTCATAATATCTTAGAATATCGTGTTTACGTGCTAATAAACTTTATGGTATATTTAAAGTGTAGTACATTTACATTATAATACACACGTTACATTTCATGTATTAAATTTTAGTGTATATTATAAAATATATTAAACTTAATCTATTATATTAAACATATATATAGGGTGGCCACTGAAAGACTGAATGATATTAAACAAAAATAACTTTTACAAACACATACTTTTTAAATTTTTTATTATTTTATTTGGAAATATAATTAATTGATTTTTTTCAGTATTATGTGTGAAAAACAACATCCTTCAACCACTGTTTTTCCGTTCACAAATACGAAAAATTGAAAATAAACAAGGTATGACTACAAACTCTTCAGTTTTTCAGTGGCTATCCTATATTAAAAATTTTTATTAAACTTTTTTAATTTTTATTAAAAGTTTCAACTAAACCAACTATTTACATAATTAAAGAATCAAGATTTTTTTCTAAGATATTTTTAATCAATTTTATTTTTTACTTTTAATTTAAATTTCATTTAATAATATCTTGCTTTACATTAATAAAATAATTTAATTTAATAATATTTTAATTAAAATTTTCGAATTTAATGGAATTAAATATGTATGCAACAGTGTTAAATTGCATTGTAATACAACAAATAATTACTTTTTTAAATTTTATATACATGTTCTTCCAATTTTCAAATTTATTATTGATTTATACAAATATAATATTAAACAAATATGGAAGTTTCATCCTGATATTTTTATTATTTTATTATTATTATTTATTTCAATCATATTTTTCTATTTCCCATTGTATTCAATTAATTTTTCAATTTTATTAATACAAAGAAAAAATCCATTGTAATAAATAATTCTGACAGTGTCAAAAGATAGATACAATTGAAGTCATTGCACTCGTTTCCTTCATTGAATTATAACCCATACTCAGCCATAATGGTGACATATCAGTTCTGAATCAATATCATAAACTACAACTTTCTCTTATTGCTTCCCCTTCTCATTCAACTTTTCCATTCAGTTTCATTCCCTGCTCTCCTTTTATCCCCTGAGATTGATTCTCATTGATTTATCATATACATACAGAGCGAGATATATAAAATATAGAAAGTTATTTTTCTAAAACCAATGCGGATAATTCGATAAAAAAAGTACAATACTTCTATTGTATTCCATATTTTAAACATGTAATAAAATATATAATATAACTATAAAATTATTAATATAAAAAATAATTAATATAAAAAATACTGTAAGTAAATATTAAGATTGACAATTATTTTATTCTATTTTATTTTACCAAGCAATTTTATTTAGTTTTAGTTCCCTAAGAAACTCTTCCAAAATTAGTAAGTAATTGTTAATTTTCTCAATATTAATTTAAATTAAAGTAAGCTACGATAATTTAAAAAAAAAATTTACAATGAATTTGAAGAAAAAGACTTTTCATTTTAACATGCATCAATTTGTACAAAAAGTATGAAAAATATTTTATAAATATTCATTTTTTCATAAATAAGATTACTCAATTTTTTAATTTTCTTATTTATTTGTTCATATAAAATAATTTTAGGTTACTTTTATTTATAATTTTATCAGAGTAATTAAAATGATAATAATATCTAAATATTATACATCTACAATGATCCATTTCTATAAGATATATAAAAATTTTCATTTTGTATTTTATAAACTTTTCCTATTCTTTCATTTTTCTAATCTAAGTCGTGTATAAATTAATTACAATATTAATTATAAAGAAATTAATTATTTATTAATTTTATATAGTGAATTTATCTGCATATTAAATTACTTTTATTTAAATTATAATGTAAAATAAAAGTAGGTATAGTACATAAAAATATAATACAAAATAAATATAAGTGAAATAAATAATAATAGAAGTTTATAAAAGAAACATTACTAAATCAATTAGCAATTGCAATCTATATTGCAGATTATTTAACAAGATTTATTTAATCTTACTGTTATTCTTTATATTATTCTGCAGATATTTTGAAATTCGATGTACTATCGCGAAGATATATTTGATAGTACTGCTACCAATATATTGACTGTATTTTTCAGGAAAATTAATTTCGAATCAGTGCCGTCAATACAGTTAATCCTTCGTGTTGCTCTGTGGAAAATAAAATAACAATGTCCCTCAGTGTGTAAAAGAAATATATTTTTTTGCGTGGTGACACGATGTATATTTGTGCTATTCTTGAGCATGTGATGAAGTCCACAGATGTCACTCAAATAACTTTAAGCCGATTCTATCCACAGTGAAGAAAATTGTACCAATTTTTAAAGAAATTTGAAGTGCAGTATAAAAGACAGAACGTTGCCACGTTTTAGAGTCAATATGAAGTCCAACTTCTCCCAGAAAGTAATGATAATAAAGTTTATATCTAAATACAGGATGATATAAAAAAACATAAATTTGTAGAGTTTTACAAATTTCCAAATCAGAATATGTAATGCGAAAACTAGTACGAAATAAAGATAATTTTAATGTCATCTTCAAAAGATGATCCATGTGGTGCAATTGCAAAGTCAAATAGGTAACAGCACAGTATGTTCCCGTTGATACCCTACAATTCTTATCTGAAACATTCTTTCGTGTCATTCGTATTTTTCCAGATATTTCAGCATTTCCAATTAAACCATAGAATGTAAAAAGAAAAAAGAAAAAAAAAATGACTGTGGCTTTTAACCGGGATGACATTTCCGTATAGTCTAACGAGTATAAGTACATTTTTATTGCCGCCTTGGCAGCGTAAACAATTTAGCGAAATAATCCGTAAATAGGCGTAACAATGGGCGTGTGTTATTTACACGAGTAAATGGTTTTCCGCGTCTACCAAGGCGTGTGTAATCCAAATGAACGAGGACAACGTCGTCGACAGTGGCGATGCAGCTGCTACAACAAGCAACTTTCGTACTCTGACACTTATGCAATATTTCTCTGTCTCCTTCACCGCAACGGTAACCTTCGACCTCGACTTCCACGCTATCGCGTTGCACCTGTCGCGAGCTATTTTGCTTGTAAATAGATCGCGCGCAAAATCCGCTTGTATTTCGTCGAGATTCCAGCGCGATGACAACTTGCACAGTTGACATTTTCCCGCTTTTCTTTCGAGTTTATCATTTATCGTACGTTTAGATAACATTGTCCATTCATAATGTTAAAATTTTTAACTTCGTTAAATGTTCGTTAGTTCACTTTTTATTTTTGTATTTATGATGAGAGATTGAACATATAAAACTCAGTTATGTGAAATTTTATGTTAATATACAAATACAATAGAAATTGACCCTGAAAGAGTAAGCAGGATGTGTTTTAAATTTCTATTATAATATTATCATTATAATAATTATATATAAATATCATTTTATATAATTACTTGCAAAAACAAAAAAAATGTTTCTGAAAATTAAATGAAAACAACAATACTAAGTCATTTATCCTATTTATATTTTTCTGCCAATTTGCATTTAACTCAATCAACATATTTATACAAAAAAAAATAAATTACTTTCAATAATCAATAATTAATAATTCAATAAATCATTAAATTGGTGTACAACAAATTTTGTTGTCCAGTAAATTGTATGAACAAATATAATTTGTTTTGATATAAAAACAAAAATTATATAGATTAATACATTCTTTTCTGTTACTGTATAAGCTTTTAATTCAGTTTCGTAGTAATCTGAAAGTATTTCGTAAAAGTCTAGTATTTTTACTGTTTAGATATAAAAGAAGCTTATAATAATCAAAAGAATATTAGTCTGGTATAACAAAATCAATTTATATCATATAGATATTTATGTTAAGATATGCACTAATTTATAATATGAACTAGTCTTTTTAAATAGTTTACTTTAATGGTTTTAGAGAATTAATTGGCGATATTTAGAGATAGAACTGTCTTCCAATCTTGTTAGTAAGGGATCAGACTATTGATTGTTATAATTATAAAATTATTACATTTATAATAAACATTTTTTTATATATAGATATATAGATACCATATATATAGATACCATCCTAATTTTATAATTATAAATAAACGTAAACATTCAAATTCATTTTCTATATCAATGAGCGGTTCTTAGAACTCTTATTGTTAGTGCCATAATTTATGTCATAACCCAATTTACACAGAGATGTATATATTAATATATGATAAAAAAAAACAAGAAATGTGTATATTATACATGTAAATATTTATTATATATATTAACATTCATTTTATATTATATTTTATTTGTATATTATATTATTATATGTATCATGTATGATATATGTATCACATATAGTAATTATATATAAATATGTAATTTATTTTATATATACAAGATGAATTACCTAACTCTTTACATGCAAAAATATTATTAGTATCATTGTTACGGTATTTAAAAAATCAATATACAGTGTAATAATTAATATCTATTTCTCTTTTTTCTCAGGTTACGAATCTTGGATTTGAATATAAATATTTTTTCATGCAACAAGTAGTTTACGAATAATTTAAGTTATTAATTTAAATAGTAGTGTAAAAACTATGAATTTATGATCTATCAAAATATTTAATTTAAATCACATTAAGTATTTGTAAACAGTAGCCTTATTTATTAATTCTATTATAGAAATTATCTGTATAATTACTTAACTTAATAAATTCTATTTTTATTTGCATTCGTATTTGCATATACATTTTTAGAATTTTATGGCAAGTAATACATATATAATATTCTTTATCTAAAATGTCTACAAATAATCATTACAATACTCCTAAACAAATAATCACTTTGCACAATCCAAATTTCTCGTCATATATATTCATTTAATGCACGAGTGAATAATTCAATTATTTTCAAAAAGACGTATGCCGAGAAAGAAAAATCTAGCAAGAAACATAGAGACCACAGAAATGATATTTTCTTCCCTTCAGCCATTTTCAGTTATTTCAGAATGTTACATAATTTTATCTGTGTGTATCACACTTTCAATCTTACGATTATATAAGATCTGCCTAAATAATTAATGAGACTTATTTTTCATTAGCTACACTTCTTCTCGTCTCTACATGTAATAAAATCAAATCCTTTGGAGTTTCCTGGCACATACATATGTGTACCAACACTGATCTCTCAAAGACTGAAACTTTATTTTCAATTGTAAAACGATATGAATATATATACCACCTAGTCTCTTTACACATGCATTACATCTGAATGATTCATTTTTTTTTTTTTTAACTTTCAATTATATATTCACATTGATTACAGAAATTTGTAAAAGTTACAAATAACAGTTACAAGTATAAAAAATTCTTCTTCAAAGAGTTAAATAATTCGAAGAAAGAACAGGTAGTTGATCTCATTAAGCAGTACGATCCTATGAAGAATGAAACATCGTAGAATACTATAGCCTATTCCTCTCGTCTCTAGAGGGATTAGCAGCTATCCAGTCGAGGGCGCGCTGAATAAGAATTGGTATGGGTTGCGTGGGTGGTGGTGTTGGCAGATGTGCCCCTTGGAAAGAGACACCATTTTCGTTGGCTAGCCAGCCAAGGTTGATTCTCGTTCCATCTGGCGCCGTCCACGAGGCCGACCCGCGAACTTCTTCGGCCTCGGCATCTTTTTGGCCACGATTCTTCAGGACACCCTCCTCTTCGACGGCGATGCCATTAGCGGTTTCCCATTTGGAGAAAAAACTTCCATCAGGACTGATATCTTGACTTTGACTGACGATGGCGATCGGTTTATCTGCAGCTAGCACCATAGCCACCAGATTCAGCAGGAAAATTGTCCGAAGGTACATTATGCAAATATGATGGAGCGATCTCTGAAAGAAGTTATTATTAACCGTGATACCGTGATCCGTGATATTGCAACATATGATGTACAGTGATCTCCCATTAATATTCGGACACTTGAATTGAAGCTATTGCAATTTTGTAAAAAAAAAAAAAATTATTTTAAAACTCGAAAACCTCTACTTTCAAAACGCGTCGTTCGTATTATTCTAAAATAATTTTATATCACATAGCGAATAAATAAGCGAAGATATCTTTCTTCTCGGAAATGCTATAAATTGTCGTATGTAGATACATTGGAAAATGTTTTTCATGATTTAATCTAAAATAGATTTGAAGATTAAAGTCTTCTCTTTGTAACGACTTTTGAAGATTCGAGGTATTTTTTTTCTTTTCTTTTTTTTTTTTGTCATTTTGTTGAACTTTAAATATTAGACTTAGATGACGAAAATTCTAGAAATTGTAACATTTTATGTTTATTTTCGCCTAGTATTTAAAGTTGCATTAATTGGCGAAAAAAAATCGCACAATAAATTTCGAAGGATCGTTTAATACGAAGGCTTTAATCTTCAAAACTATTGTAAATTCAGTCGTGAAAAAAATTTTATAATGTTTTTATATACTATAATAATTTATAGCATTTTCAAAAAGAAAAGGCTTTACTTTGCCATCTGCTACACAGTATAAAAACATTTCAGAATAAAGTGAATGCATTTTGAAAATAGAGACTTCAAACTTCAAAAGCCCAAATTTATTATTATCTTTTTACAAAATTGAAATTATGCATAAAAGGACATAGACATACATATATTTATATCATCAGATATTTTCTTAAAATTCATTTAAAAGTAGATTAAACAGTAAAGTTACTATCAATTTATCATTAGTATAATTTTAGTAAGTAGTCTAATTTTAACTAACAAATTAATCGAATTTGTAAAACGTTCAAAATTTTTCTTTTTTCTATATAAATATTTGATAAGTGTATCTTTCGTCTCAAGAACTGAAATATTCTTTATTTTTTGAACGAAACAAATTTCTTTGTATATTTTTCAAAACGGCAATAATATAATTAAAACTTCAGTACTAAAAATAATATTACGAATAAAATATTTATTTATTGAAAGAAATTTTTATTTTATTCGAAATCTTAATCCTTAGTTTGTATCCTGAAGTCACAGTCGACTATAGTAATATAATTTACATTATATTACGAAAATTTAAGATATTCAACTTTATTTTACATTTTATATTCTCTCTGATACAAATTAATACTAGTAAAATTAAAAAAATCAAATAAAAAATTTTCACAATTACGTAATGTAGAAATTATTATAGTTCAATCAATGATATTAGTTAACGATAACATAATGTAAATTTTTGTGCGATAATGTAACATAAACCATGACTAATTGTGTATTCTTTCATAGAACGTCTGCTACATTACGTACCATAGTTTCATCAATTAATTACCATACATCTCATTAAAATCGTGATAAACGACCAGTCATAAATCTAACTGATCAAGTATAAGTAGTTTTCCATTTAGACCGATTAATTCAATTAAGCTGTTCCATGAACGTGGTGATTAGATTAAGCGCTTTAATGAAGCATAAATGGTTGAAACAATATGCATGTTGATCGATGATCGATTGAACAAAGCCTAAGATAACACTAAGATAATAATCGAAAGCCTATCGATTATACTTGTTAATTATTGATAGATTGTCGACGCAATTGTCTAACCTTGCTTTGTGAATTTCCAGATAGCACGTACGAAATCCTACTGGCAAGCTCACGTCCATCTGTGCACCTTTTATACTTTGAAACACTCTACGCTATCACCGACATTTTCCGTTCAAATGTCACTCGATGATACCGGTTCAGCCTTTGTATGACCGGTATCACGTAAGTACTAAAGGACACCTTTCCGGCTAGGTTATGGGATAAGCAACCAGCAATCAATCCTCACCTAGATCGTCAATTACCGTGGATATGTATTCACTATAAATATACGTAAATTGGTACTTGTTGTAATTTCAAATGGATTAACTCTGAAGGATCTTGCTTAAGGAGATTAAATAATATATGTAATCATTGTGTCATCGAATTTGCATCTCTTTTCTATAAAAAAAAAAAAAAAATGAAAATTTGAAGAAAAATAAAAGGTAAAATATAATGTAAATATTTATAGATTTAATATTTTCCAATTTAGAATTCATTTCTTTCACGTAAAGAATTAATCTCGTATTTTGTTTCTTTGATATGTGTTGTTTAAGATATTTCTTTTTTATTGAATAACATTTGGAAGAGATTAGAAATAATGCAATAATTAAATATCGTTGAATTTTTCATATAACAACATTTAATAGCAGTCATTACCATTTTAATCATACGTTTAATCATATTTATTTTGAAGAAAATAAGTTTTATTTGCAATGTTATTTGCATGCAAAGTATTTAATGTAAAAATATCTTAAAAGTCAGACATGGAAATATTATCATATAAATTATTTAGAATGCAACGTTATTAAACAGACAGCAACATTATTAAAACGATGATATACATTATAGATAGAATATTAAATAATATCTTTAAACAAATTTTTGTATTTTTCTACATTATATTGAATATTGCAGGTAAATACAACAAAAGATAAAAATATGATAAATTACCAAAATTAAAAAACTATTATCTTAAACGAAAATCATCCAATTTTTACATTGATAAATTATTTTGTCACAACACAAATATATTAAACTAAACATTTTTAATACTATTTTAATACTTAATAGAAATACATATCAATTAACAATATAAAAGTTTATTTAAAAATATAATTCGAAATAATATGAATAACAATAATTATATTATAATAATTATAATAATTATAAAAATTATAACATTATGTTATGTATAATATATTGTTGCAATAATAATTAATATATAATAATAATACAATTATAATAGTAAT